GGTGGGTCGGTGGGTCGGTGGGTGGGTGGGTGGGTGGGTGGGTGGGTGGGTGGGTGGGTGGGTGGGTGGGTGGGTAGGTAGGTAGGCAGGGAGGTAGGGAGGTAGGTAGGTAGGTAGGTAGGTAGGTAGGGAGGTAGGTAGGTAGGTAGGTAGGTAGGTAGGTAGGTGGGTAGGTGGGCAGTTTTTTTGATTGTAGAAAGGTTTTTTTGAAAACGCTTTTTTTTTAAAAAATTGGATTTTTTGATTGGCATCCCGCAACTGGCACACAACCGCAATCTATACGTCCCTGGCGAGGGGTGCGGCATGAGCAAGCAAGAGACTACAGGGAACAGCGAAGGGAGAGAACGACGCTCAGCTAGATCCAACCGGTGCCCAGAAGCGGTTCGTGTCACCAGCAAGAAGAATCTCCTTCATGGCCTCCAAGACCGACCCGGACACAGATCATCGATCTCTCTCTTCTAAGATGACTCTAAGGCAACCCGGTTCCACAGAAACAGCGCAGAATCAGCCGCACAGGTTTGTTTGCGAGGCTCCTTCCACAAGCTTTCCAAGACAATCCCGCCTTAAACTGCTTGAGAAGACGACCCGCGCCAAAGATGCGCTTGTGCAGATCCCACTCCTCCACGGCATGTTGCGTTCAGTGTCAACTTGCCGAGAAATGTAGTTGGGCGTCGAGATATCGTGTGGTCGTGGATTGAAGTTGGGAGAAAGGCAGTCCTATCGTGTATTAAACAGGTTGAATGCCTTAGTCGTTGGGGCCCAGCGTCCTGTGCGAAAAAGAGCTCCATCAGCGCCTCTGTGGACATGGGCCGAGGGAGCGGAGGTGAGAGCAGTGGGTTCTTGTTGAACGGTTAAGGACGTTATCATAATCATGAAATCCCCTCTATTTACTAAACATGCCCACTATGGTAACTTATGGATTTAAGGATGGAGGTCAAAACCGGTCACGAACTTGGAGATGGCATGGTGACCAGTTCTTTGACAAGAACTTTGTGAAAAAAGAGGGCAGCCATGCCAGTTTTGCTGATGACATACTGTGTAAATTATTGTTGAGTGGCTCAGGTGCTGCTCTGGCATGCCAGAACGCATCTTTCAACATCACACTGCTGTGATCTTCATTGGCGCTCAACAGCAGGGTATATACCAATCACTCAACCAATGTCACTCTTAGGCCTACGAGTACAGCCCTACAGAAGGACCCCAAACCCACAACTACTGAGTTCCAGCCTGGGCCGGGACGACGTTGAGAGAACTTCGGGCGGCCTTCTCGACGAAAATCTGCCTCTTCTTCGTCCATACGCACTCTCTGTTTCTACGAAGCAGTCTTCGTGGGTTGGTATATTCGTTTCTGTATAATAAGTCACATTCAGTATCTTGTGATTTTTGCCGTGCTTGGTACAAACATACCAACCTTCGTCATCGTCGTCATCCTCACATGGTCATGATTATGAACATCATCATCGTCATCATCATCATCACCACCACCATCACTTCCACCATCGTCCGCAGCATTAAGCTTTGGCGATTCTGCACATGTGCGTGCTCCGTGTCATGTTTAGTTGTGAATACTCTTGGCTCTCCAGTTCTGTCGCTATGCCTATTTGACTGAATTTAGCTATCGGCGGCGTCTCAACTCCTGCTGTTCATGTTGCTGATTGAAACATGTTCTTCAAGGTGTGCCGCTACCAAAGTATATATGCGACGCTGGTAATATTCTATCGCTCATCATCTCTGAGTTCAGCCATGTTGCTTATGATCCTGAGCACTATGCATGGTACCTTGGTGCTGGCTGTATTCTGCTTACGATGCTTGCGTAGTAGTACACCAAGTTCATCACCATCGCTAACTAGCTTCTGCTCCCTTCGATGTCGCTGCTAGTGTTTTGACCACTCGAAGCTTCGAAGAGCTCTCCATGCCCGAAACCCTGGTGTAGACAACAACTCGTGAGCTGATGTCTTAACCCGAAGCCCTAAACTTAAAGAAACATCGTAAGATCCTAAACCCTAAACCCTTCAGATCCTAAGAAGCTGCATACAAAGCACATGGAGGCGCTCCGGTGCATGAGCCCAGATTCCCGGATGGTGGGCCACTGCCAGATCTCGGCTTTCGAGGATACGTTTTTCGAGGTTTAGTTTTTAGAGTGTAGGGTTTAGGGGTTTAGGGTTTAGGAGTTGGATGTGTGGTTCTGGCGAAGATGTTTTGCGATGAGGTTCTTGTCGAGCTGGCTCTTGCAGGTCCTATCCGACTCATTGGGTCTGAGCCTATCGGTTGCAGTACTGTAGGGGCCTCAATAATTAGAATACGGTTTCGGGGATTACTTACTATAACTATAATATAAAATACCCCTAAACCCTAGGTTCCTGATTATAGTAATAGCAGAAAATACTCCCAAACCCTAGTCAAATTGGGTTTGAGCTGTGGCTTTCAGAGCCGCTCAAGTGGGTCCCCTAAACCCCTAATGCCCTAAACCCTTATAGAAACCCCTAAGCCCTAAGCCCCAAAGCCCTAAACCCCCTAGGCCCTAAACCCTCTTTAAAGTGCTCGGGCCCGGGAGTTGACGGCCCAAGCGCGGGAATTCCGCTTTTTGGTGGCTGCTTGCGGTTCGGAGTTGGAGCTGCAGGCTGCGAGAGCGAATATCTATCAATCCCCAAATAGCTGAGTAAATATATACAAGTTATATATGCGTATGCATATATATATATATGTGATACATTTCTATACACAAACACACATGGTCAGAAACCAGTCAACCCTCAACACTGAAACCTTAAAACCTCAAGCACGACTTGGGTGTGGAAACAGATTTTCGGCCGTACAGCCAGGGGACCGGGTCGCCAAACTTTTGCAGGTCCTGCTCAGTTCGATCTAGGGCATCCAGGGAAGCATTTCGTACGCGTTTTGCAAAGCATAGACAGGTTCTGGATTCTAACAAACAACAAGCTCACGCTGAAGGAAGCCATGCATTGCAGACGCGCGCAGCGCATTTCGAGAAGCTTGCGACGGATGACATGGAGAGCATCGGGCAGAACCAGGCTCCTGCTGCAAACTGAACAGCGATGTCGCCGCCGTCCTCACGGATCAGCATGTGCAACCCTGACACCCGGACCACCCAAAGATCCAAAACCCTTCGCCCTCCAAGTCCTGCTGGCCCCCGAGCCTCTTGAGGCTCAACTGAAATGAGAACAACAAATTGACAAAGGCGATAGTAACAGGGCTTTAACTCAAAATGCCATTTGCCTATCGGCCTATTATGCAGACGCACATCAGGAGCGAGGTGAAGCAGTCCTCGACGAGCGCCGGCTGTTTCGCGGAGCATTCGGATCCTACAAAAATGATTCCTCTTAGTGCCACTGGCATGAAGTGACAGCCCTGCACTATGCTCAAGGGTGAGCAGACTCTCCTGTGCGAACTGAAGTCCGATGAAGTCAGCGAGTAAGTTCACCAGCTCATCCATCTCCTCCACGCTGTAACCTCGGAAACGCTGATGTCCGCGAAAATCACGACTGGCAACAAAAGAAGCTATGCTAGCCATGCTCATGTTCGATTCAAGGCTCGTGTAAGGCCCAAAGCCACCACTGAGTCGTGGAGCGACCTTCCCGACACCAGCCTGATCTGGGGCTGCAGAAAGGCTCTGCAAGAGTGCCCAGCCCTGAACCCGGAACCCAGGGTGTCTCGTCCGTTCTGCGCAATCTCTTTCCGGCCCTTAAGCGCCCACGACATCTGTCAGATTACAGGGCAAGTCTGAATAGTTCCGAGCCAGGAAAACACAAAACACTAGTAATATGTTAATGGCAGTAACAATAAGAATGTAATCACAATAGTAATCGCAGTGCTACTTAAAAAAGAATAACAATAATAACACGTAATAATAACCATAGTAAGAACAATAATCATAATAACAATAGGTATTCTTCTTCATCTTATGACTACTAATATTATTGCTCTAGCAATAAAAAGAATAATACCTATATATATATATATAATAACCATACTAATCAAAAGGAGCAGTAAACCTTTTCACAATTGTGATGAGAACACTTCCTCTGCCAGGCTGCTGCTTCGCGGAGATGACGCCCAGACGCACCCGCAGGCGATGGCGAATGGATTGCGCCTCGTCGTCCTCGGCTCGGATTCAAAGGACAGTGGAGCCTCAACACCGGACTATACGGAGTGTACATGCTGCGTGGGAACCAAAGATACACACAAGAACTGGAAGCCTTTACATCCAACGTTTGCAAGTTCCACGATCAGCAAGCACCTCATTCAGGCCATGGCACGGTGAGCCCAAGAAGCCCAGCACCAAGGAAGGGTACCGTGAACTTGGGGGACCTAACATAAGAGGCACGAGCAAGGTGTGATGCTCCAACATTCCAGCGCTTGGCAGCAGCACTCTCGAAGGCAAGGCTCTGTGGTGGCGTATCCTCGATGTGCAACGGGGAGGACATCGACTCGGTCTCAATTGTCAGCCTCAGACTGTGCTGCGTGGGGCCATCGGTCACAATATTATCTCCTTTGCTTCGAAGTCGGCCAGGCGGCATCTGCGGTGACCCAGAGCGAGCGCCGGAGTCCGATGCAGGGGCTGAGGCGGATAAAAGGCCCCCGCGCCGCCCGGAAGCCCGGCTGCTGACGTTTGAGGCGATAGGGCCGACGGCCAGGGATTCCTGGAGAGAAGGGCGCTCTGGGAGTTCATGGGCAGCTCGGTGTTGAGGTGAGATACACAGCTCCGATGCAGTCAAGTCTTCCGGTCCTTCTTGGAAACCCTTGCTTCTTGAAGATGTTTTTCAAGCTCGGCGAGCTTCAGCTGCACATCCAGAGGAGATGCAGTGGTTTGGTTTTCCGGGTAGGCCTCCAAGAGCTGCTTACGGAAAGCAGACCACGAGGCATCCAGGAACTTCTCGAAGCCATCTTTGTCCATTGTGCACATGAAACAGCTATTATGGTGTCTTGTGAAGCATGTCCGAAGTCTGTCTCTGATCATGTGCTGTGTTTTCCTCTGTCGTGGTTTCGGAAACTTGGTGAAGTGTGGCAACATGCCGAAACCCCACATGCACCAGCCACTCTACCTTCAGCTCCGGCATAGCGACCCACTAGCAAACAATCCATTCTGGGGCGACGCCTCTGAGCCTTGTGATGCCTTAGTTGCGATGATCCTTGAAAGCCCAAGCGCAGGGCATGATCTTGGTCCGGCCTACAGGGCCTACGTACTTGATCTGGTGCAGGCGCGATTCCAGTTGCAGGGTCAATGGTGTGGCTGTGAACCGTTTGGGCCACAAACGGCTAGCCAAAAGCAGGCTGCAAGCTCGCCTCTTCAAGGAAAACTGGCAGGTAAGTCGCCTTGGCTTCTTTACCGGGATGGGGGCTGGTGAGGCGAGGCGTGATGAAGTGAAACTCCTCGGAACAAAAGGGTGCCCGCGCACCTTGACAAGTGGGAAGGCTGCTAGGGCTGCTTGAGGAGGATATGTGCGCATAAGTCCGCGATGTTCCGCATACCTTTGACCTTCCAGACAATGTGTTCGTATGCCACGGACCCCATGCACCTCCACAGCAAGTCTGTGACAACATCGCAGAGTCGACCATGAGCCGACATGGCGCAGGCACTGGCCGCAGTCTTGATCTGGCCGGGCCTCTTTGAGGCACTGAGACTGATCGGCGCATCTGCGAGTGTGACAACGGCACTGCGATCTTTCCGGATGATTCCGTGTATATATGCAGCCTGCCTGACATGCTACTTCTGTACAGTGTTAAAACGGACAACTTCATCGTCCACGCGTTGGGCCCAAGAACACCGGTGTTCATGATTGGACATCATTGCATCATGGCACTGGGATTTTACTTTTGAAGCTTGCAACATCATGAACTCTGACATCGCAGTTGTCTCGCGATGTTGGCACGCCTGAGCTGGACATCCTTTTGGATGGTAACAGGCTGCGCTATTCTACGGTAACCTCCAAAGGTGGAGGTTGTACTTCGACGTCAGCGAGAACTGCCTCTGGACGCAAAGGAATAGGCCTGAATCGGTCGGGCAGCTACACGTTGCTGAGTCTTGGTCATAAAACCATGTCTGTGCTACTGCCTGACAGTGATGCGCATGTAACTGCGCGGCGGCCGCATCCCTTCGCCATCCATCTATCCTTCTACTCGAGATGACTGGAACAAGTGGGAAAGGCCGCGGCAGTGCCAGAGAGAGTGCGAACTCATCCTGCAGGGTACTTAAAGACAGGGGATTGTCGTAAGACAGGACCAGTGTCCTGTCACCAAGCTGAACGAGTACTCAGGACTCAAGCTAGACTCCTATTGTGAGCTGTCGGAAACTCAAGGCCTCGCTACTTAGTTGTTGCAAGCACGTCCTTGACGAACTGCTCCGTGGACACTTGCGCCCGCGCCGAAGCAGAAAGGTCCTGCGCCAGTGAGAGATCGAACATCTTCCGGCTTCCGCCAGTGGTTTCTTTGAGCCTACGCATTGCGAAGGTAAGGCCGAGTGCCGCCTGGGCCTAGCCCGTGCCTGTTGCAGAAGCTCTTGCTCCAGGTGCCGGGCTCCGTTTAGAATCATTTAGAATCTGAGATGTCTAAGAAGGCGAAACTGAATAGCGACCGAATCTCGGGTCTTGCACGATGGAACTGCAGGAATCCTGAAGCTATTCCAAAAAACATGTCAGGACCCCTTGCAAAAGCCGGCCCTCACTCTGATCTCTTCTGTCCGGCTCGGCCCGGAGGTCCCTGGGCTTTTCGCGAGCCTTGCTTTTGCCTCAGGGCGGAATTCAGTTTCGGGGACACCGAGAAGCGAAAGCCACGATGCAGTAGGAAGACAACAAGCCGTCACCCGATGCTTGAAAGTAATATGTTCAAGCGGCTCTCGAACCGCATCGCTTGCGGCCTTTCTCCAAGGGCCAATACTTGCCTCGAGCGAAGCAAAGTGTTCGAATATGTAGGTGTGTATCTCGTTCAACACTTCGATTTCTGAGATCATTTCATCCCGGATTGACGCTGGGAATGTGTCCCGTCCCACAACCATTCAGCCAAGCAACCCTACCACAATAACCCCCGCACCCAGCCACCCACGCACACACACACACAGTCTTTCTCTGTCTCTGCCTATCTCTCGCTCTTCCTTGTTTCCACTTCCACTGAGGTTAGGTCTGCGGCGCAGACCCGGGCCTAGGACCCCTCACCCCTACTTCGGTGGGATGAGGCTTTGGGGTGTCGAAGGAGGTGCTTATCCCACCGGACTGTTTGGGCGGTAGAGTGCTGCTGCTGTCACCCCCACAGCCTCCCTCATCTCCGCGCTCTGTATGGCACGTCCTAAGTGCCTACGACAGCGGCACTCCCCTGCGACCCCTGTGGACAGCGAGCACAGGGCACAACTGACAGACAGACAGCCATCGTGATCACAGGACTGGTGCTCGTCCCTCTCCCAACTCAAGTTACAGACAAGGCTGTACGGTACTAACTACAGGCCGGTATCACTCAGGAGCTCACCAGTACTTGATTGGTAACCCCTGCCCCTAAGCCAGTGTAAGTTTTTTGTGCAACAGACGTCTTTCCGGGGGCAGCAGTGCGTTAGACAGCGGGTACTGTAGAGGGCAAAGAGGTCAGAAGTTACAGTTGTCACTTGGTTGCTTCCCCCATCTCTGCAAAACAGCTACTTGGTTACAGCTTTAGCGGCAACGAGTTGCGACGGTATGTCCCCCACTCGAGGAGTTAGGGGAGTGGGTCATAGACCATCATACTGGGCCATGCCTGTCGAACATCATTGCATGCATCTGGCGGCGTCGGTGCTCAGGTGGGCTCGCGCTCGAACAGTCTCCCCTGTCTTCCTCCAGCTGGTCATGCGGTGGGTCGACTTGCCATGGATTCCCCCCGCTATGGCTATCCACGACGGTCGCTGGCTCTGTGGCTTATCTCTCTCACTCTCTCGCGCTCTCTTCGCGCTGGCCTTTCGTGAACCAGTGTCTGCGAGGACCGTTTTCGCTAGCATGCAAAGAGCAGGACTTCTCTCAAAGTGCAAGCTGGTTGTGCTGGGCATCTTCGGGAAGACTTGAGACTGTACAGTGCCACGTTCGGCTGAAGTCACAAAATCGAATCTAGTGTTCGTTAAAGAGATGCTCAACACACTGACAAGTGCAGTAATTACCTAGCCTCCACTAAAAAAATTATGTAAAGAGGCCTGCAAGCTGGGATGCTAATATAGAAGTACTCTGCCCTGCCGCTGGTTCGTCTTTTCAGCCTGGACTTTCAACACATGTTGTACGTTCATGTTCACGTCTGCACATGCAGAGGCGTTGGTGAAGTTTTGTTGTTGAAGGTCTACATATCTCCTTCCGTCGCAGAACGGCCTGTGCATCTTGTATTGTTTACTGGCCTGGCATTGGCGGCCTGGCCTTACTTACTTGGTATCTTCCTGCAGGAGCACAGCCGTATGCACGATCTGGGTTCACATACGGCCGTGCTCCTTCCACAACTTATCTGCATGTCCATGCTTGCCAAGCTGCCTCTCCAAGTCTCGCTTCAAGGAGTCCAGATGGCTGGAGCTCTCCTCTCATGGCCATTCTCCACATTTAGGGTTTAAGGTTTAGGGTTTAGGGGAGTTCCTGAACCTGAATCCAAGCCCCTGTCAATGCTGACTATAATATCCCCAGGTGCCTGCCAAAGTTCCGGATCCAAAGCCCCTAAACCCAGCAAAGCAGGAACTAGGTTCAGTCTGGCAATGCCAATGCAGGCCAACGAGACATCAAGCAGAACGCGGAGTTCTGGAGTCTGGAAGCATGAGCTCTCATTCTATGCTTTGAATTTGGTAAAGTACCCCTTCTGGAGAGTCAATAGGATCCTAGGAAGGCGAGCTCAGTCAAGTTTATTGGCTGGCATAGCATTCTTCACGCCTCGGACATATCCCTGAATGGCCCATCCTCCTTCATCTCACTGACCATGCTTTGTACAGCTTTGATGGCGAGCAGAGCGGCGACGGTGTCGCTTTTGTTGATTTCCTCAGGGCCGATACGAACGATGATGTGGCTCAGAGGACTTCCCTGAAGCCGGGACCCTGAATGGTAAACGGACCTATGTAGTAGGGATTAGGCGTTACATGCGTGGATATATATATATATATACATATATATATATATATATATAGGTATACTTATAGAAGTATTATGGAGTATCGAAATTTCTATGCCCACCACGAACCGTACCAGCCCATGCCCCAAAGCCCCGCATGGCTTAACATGTCACCGTGCCCAAGGAACTCCGCGGATCTTCAGCAGACCCTGCACGAGCTCAGTTAGCTTCAGCGTGCCGCTGCCGTCCTCGATCTAGCAGCTCTAACACGTAATTGAAGTAATAGTAACAGGGGGAAAGGTTAAGCATGAACTTAGTCATGGCAGCGATGGCAGCAATGTGTAACAGAGACTTCGCTGCAGCAAGAAGGTTGCTCCCTTTGCTGAGTGTTGCTGGTCAGCTAGTTTAAAGAATTAATAAGAGAACCATCGTGCTACAGCGCTGCCCAGCATCTGCATCGATGACCTCGAAGAGGTTTGCACGATCGGGCGGTAAGTCTAGATCGTCCATCAAGCTCTGCACCTGAGATGTTGACAGCAGTCGCACCGTCAAAAGCTCGAGAAAGCAGCAAGCTGCTTCGGCAACCATCCATCAACCGAGAGTTACTCGAGGTAGCACACCTAGCATGAGGTTGAGTCTATAAACCTCTGTCTGAGGCCGAGGACACTGTAGTCTTGAATAACCAACATGAAGAGCTCCTTGCTGATTTCCATGGTCTCATTGATCTCATCGTCGGTGAAGAAGGACGTGTGATTGATTTCGAGGCGCGGCCGACTGGCTACCGTCGCTCTGTCGTCTTCTTGAAACCTCATTTCTCAAAATTTTGGGCAAAGTGCTCAGTATCCATAATGCCTCCCCCAAAAT